TGGAGTGGTTTGAAGTGCGCCGATATCTTTATGTCTGCTTCATATTTCAAGTTCGAAAACGTGCAAATAACCTCTGACACATTATTTTAAACTATTGCATGTGCATTTTTGCCCAGCTCTGGGTCGTTCGGTTGGACGCTTTATTGGATTAGCCTTGGGTAATGTGAATAGGTTCAATAGACGATTACTGCGCACACGCTGGTTGGGAGTGACTGGTAAGAGTGAGTAAGTGAGGTTAAGTGCGTCGGGCTTGCATGGAATTGGAAAACTCACGTAGCAAAGAACAGTTAATTCATAATAATGTGGACTTTATAGATCAGCGATTCTAAGCTTCAACCCTTAAACACCTGATCTTTTCATTTGACTGAAGCTTTCGAAACCGAAATTTAAAAATTGCCAAATTCCCACGAAGTGTAGAAAGCACTAGCGGCAAAAACAAAAACAACACGTGTGCCTCTCATTGCCCATTGTTCGTCGTAATCTCAATGCACTCTGAAGTGTGAGCAGACCAAACCAGACGGACTGAAGAGAGCGGCTAACCAGATAAAACGAACAGAACCAAACAACATACATGCATACACACTTCCATACATCCGTACACATGCGCAGTTCCATTAAGGAAAAAAAAGCATTAAAATCAAAAGTCATATAGCAGCGTCGTCACTGAGACGCGTCGCGACGCCAGCAGCATCGAAATCAACACAAAAAGTGTGTTACAAAGTCAAAAGCACAACAATAACAAGTAGAGCTTAAAAACCACAGCGAAAAGAAACCGAGAATACCGACTACAACAGCAGCAACAACAACTACACTTAACTAAAAGTAGCCAGCAACGAACAACCAGTCAGAGAAAAACAATGAGCCCGCGTCGAAAACCAGTTTTTTTTTTAAAAGTTCCGCACGCTGGCTCCAAGATGGTATATGTGTGCGTGCACACTGGGAAAGAGCTTCGAATTTTATGCATTAACAAAATTCGCGAAGAGTAGCAGTGGAATGAAAAGAGATTAAAATGAGCTTGAAAATAGTAAACAAATAAATAAACATTAAAATTATTTGTCTAGTTAAAATTTATAATAATATGTGATCGACAAATAATAATATGCGTGCTCACATAACTCGCACCACAGTGCATATCGATAACAGACGACTGCTGCCACTTTGGCTACTGCACGTACATATGTTGTTGTCGGTTTTCGTGTTGCTCTTCGCGCGAAAGTTGAGCGCAGCTTAAGCAAAGGCAAAGGCAAAGGCAAAGGCAAAAGCAAAGACAGCGCGTAGCATTGCCAAGTAAAAATATTGAGAAGTGCGCATGCGCCGCAAGCAACATCAACACAACAATAACAATTGCAAGCTCTCCACGCTCGCCCCCACATAAACAAAAGAGATATGAAAACTAAAAAGAGAGCGCGAGAGCGCTTGCTAAATGAGCGCCAATAGAGGCATCGCCCGTTTCTCTCCGACAGCCAAGCAGCGCAGCAGCAGCAGCAGCAGCAGCAGCAGCAACGGGCTGACGGCAACGGCGGCCTTTTAGTTTTAGTTTTTATGTGCGGCTCTCGTGTAATAAAAATTACATTGCGCGTCGTTTATGTCGGTTGAATAGTGCAGAAAAAAGGAGGAAAGAAATAGAAACAAATGGTGTGCTAGAAATACCAGCAAACCAAAACGTAAAGTGAAACAAATTTTAGTTTAATTAATACAACTCGTATGCGTATGCGTCCAGCGCCTTGCCTCTGTGTGCGTGCGTGTTTACGTGCATTTCAAATTGTTATTGTTGTATGTGCGTGTGTGCGTAATTGCGAGCGTGAATGTGTTTGTCCGTTTAATTTGCTTGTGAGAAATGTTGTATGTAAGAAAATAAGAATAACAATAAAAATAAGAATAACAACAACAGGGATAATATTCCAAGTGAAGTTAATTACGATGCATGCATACAGATGCATTCAAATTTGTGTGTAAACTTCTAAGCAACAGCAAAAACTGTGCCGTGCTAAGAGTTGTTGCTGTCCCTGTTGTTGTTGTTGTTGCTGCTGTTGCGACTGGTGAGTGACGTTGTCCTCCCTTTCCCACTCACATGACAGTTCTATGCATTTGTTGGCGCTTGTTTACTCCCATACATATGAGTGGAGGGAGAGGTGAAGAGAGGGAGAGATGGAGAGAGAGCACGCACGCTAATAACGGAGAGCGCAAATGAGTGCAGCAAAATGTGCATTTGTTGTTGTACTTTTTGCCGAAATTGCTGGTCAGCGCAGCGAGTGTCGTTACCTTTCTCCCTTTTACCACCCACACGTCACTTTCGTGCAGTCGCGGCCGCTGTTTACTCGTGCGCTCACCTCAGAGAGCGCAAAAGGGAGAGAGAGTCAGTGAAAAGCAAAAGCTCAACCTACAGAATGTATTAAATGCGAGAAGTAGAGAATGCATTTTATTTTATTTATTTTTTTTCATTAAAGCGCGTGTAATATATAAAAAAAAAAAAAAAATCACCGAAATAGCATTTAGTGGAATTTATTAACGAAGTACATTGAACGAATTTCATTCAGACGGTTTGCTGCTATGTCTGTGTTCTTCGATAAATATGTTACAGTGCACGTGTTTGAGTGAGTGAGCGAGAGTGAGAGAGAGAGAGTCTGAGTTGCTATTGCTATTTGACTGAGACCCAATTGCATAGTCAGCCCCATAGCTGCAAACGCTCTCTCTCAGCCACTCTCTCATTCGCTCTTTCGCTCTTTGAAACAATATGCATTTGCGCACAGTGTGCTAAGAGTCATTTGTATGATGTCAAAACAAAAATAATTTGTATTGCAATTGATATTGACGATGATGAGGGGTCAAAAAAATGTCTTTGATTGCTAAACTGAGCGACTTTTATTTTTTTACTTATTTACAGTTTAGTGGGAGATTAACAAAAGAAAACACACATACACAAAGAAAATGACAACAAATATTTTGGATCTAATGACATGATTAGCTTAATTCAAAGTTGGCGAGTAGAATAAATAGTATAAATAGATAATTAGTGAAATTGAGCTTTCACTGAAACAAGTTCTAGTCTTAGTTGTAACTAGACAAAAGGCTTTTACAGATGTTTGGCCGTCTTTTTTATTACTTAGCAATTGGAAGTGCAATTCATTGCCCCCAAAAAGGGGAAAATAAGAAGAGGAAAAACTGAAACTCTTTCGCTAATTGTAATGCACATGTGTACATAAATTGCAGCTGTTTTGTTTCAGCGCCAATTGGCAATGCAGATGAGTTTTTGAGTCGTCCTCTTTTTCATGTTATTTATTTTATTTTTCCCTCTTTTTGTTTGTACAAATAAAACTACAACAATTTTTCGCAGCGGAAATGCATCGTTTGCAAAATCGGTCCATTGGTCAGACAGTTGGTTTAGTCATACGATAGACAGACTGCATTATTTCTAGACATGTATACGTATGTATAAGCTTATAAACATATATATCTCTTGGGGTATTTACTGGGATCATTTTAAAATGGGTGCAAGTGCAACACGTCAACGACCAAAGGCGAATAAACTTT